GAAGCAGATCTTGATGAATTGTGAGAGTCTTTAGAGAGCACAATTTTACTAGCAGGTCAACACAATCTACCAAACAAGATAGTAGATTTTGAGAAAAGAGTAAATTGCAAAACCAAAGAAAGCAGATTTATAAAGGTAGCTTACTTGCTAGGCAAGTTAATTAAAGAGACTAAAGTAGCAAACAGTATCGATTTACAGGAAAAAACTGCAGAGTAAAATAGAAAAATCAAGCAAATAAACTTATTAGCAGATAGCAACATCAAAGATATCAAAATATTAGAAGATGGCATATGGCAGGCAGATGCACTCATATGGAAGAAAGCAATCGAAGGCAAGTTAATAGCAAGTAGCGAGCAGGAGAAGAAAAAAGAAATACAAGCATATATTCAAAAAAGAGCAGAACAAATTGTAAATGAGCAAAAGAAAATGCTAACCAGCTTTCTAAAATGGCCATTTCACAAAGTAGTCCTGGATAGAGTACTAGCACAAAATCAAGACCAAGAAATATTATTAAATGATCCTGTAGAAATTTTGAAAGAAGTGCAAGCCCACCTCCAAAAGCAATTCATAAGCAAAAAAAATAGCCATATGGAGGCTGAGAAACTTTGGTCTGATGAGTACCAACCCAAAGGAAGAATCCAAGAGTCCTGGTTTGATCTGGTAATGCAACTAGTCACACTAGAGGAGTAGCAAGCAATGTTAAGAGAAAGTAAAGCTAACTCAGCCTCAGAAATGTCAACAATCTCATACCCTTTATTAAAACAAGTAGATACAAGATCTCAACAAGTCTTTAAGAACTTTGCAAAACTATGTTTACAAGTTAGCAATGTTCCAGTTAAATGGAAAATGACACAAATCTACTTCATACCAAAAGGACAGGATTGAGAATTTAACCTAGATAGAGTTAGACCAATCGTATTAATAAAAGTATTTAGAAAATATATAACAAAGATATTAACAAGGAGACTAAGCAAAGTTATTAAAGAAAAAGATATTCTATGTGGCCCCAACTTTGCAGGATTACCTGACAACTCTACCGAAGAGCCAGCTCATATATTAAAGATGCTTATCGAGAAAGCAGAAAAAAACAAGCAAGAAATCTGGTTACTGTTTCAAGATATGAGAAAGGCATTTGATTTAGTAAACCTAAGCATGTTAGAAAGAGCCTTAAAGAGAATTAAAGTTCCAAACAGATGCTACAAATTCA